CGGGGCCGGGGCCGAGCCCGCCCGCTCCCTGGTGGAAAGTCTCCTGGAGCAGCTCGGCCAGGTCAGGCAGCAGCTCAGGGACAGCGAGCAAACCTCGGCACAGAAAGTGGAGACTCTGAGCCAGGTAAACCCCACCTGCCCCCCGGAATAGCACTTGTACTTTGAGCGTCGCCTGCCTTTTCCAAAAGGTTGTGTGTACTTGCAGCAGATTGTACCTCGGGAGCTTTATTTCTGTACTTCTTCCTACAAAAATGACGAGTTTTAAGTTTAGTGTTTCCAGCACTTGTTGTCTTGAATGGAGCATCTGACTTGAAATATACTTGGTGATGACCGTGGTTATAGACATACTACATTTGAGTTTATAGAAGCACGTTTAGGTGCACAGGCACCGACACTGAAAACTTGGTTTTAAGTGACTTGCCCAAGGTGGCATAGCAAGCTGGGGGCAGAGCCTGGACAAGAAATCAAATGCTTTGAATGATCTGATGCTCCTTGATATGTTGGTGCATTTGACAGGACTTGCATTAACACTTTGTGTGCAGAGGTGGACTGTTCGCAAATCAACTCAACCCTATGTATCAAAGATTAGTTTCTACTGCATTAAGTTCAATAACATAAAAGAGCTTTTTTTTTTAAAGCAACTGTAAAATCAAAACTTAGTGTGGCATTGTAAATCATAACATAACTATTTTCCACAAGCAGAAGGAGAAAATATTCAGTAACAGCTAAATTCAGGAGTTCCATATTACCTATTTAAAAACAAAAACAAAAACCTTCCTCTTTATCAGATGTAACAGTGCTGTTCCATAAGATAAACAATTGATGCCAACACTTTTTCTATTACAGTATTTTTTTTAAAAGTTCACTTTAAAAAAAAATGGCTTCCTTGTTTTGTCATTAAAATAGCACTGTAATGCTTGGAGAGGTAACTAGCAACTCTAGATTGTGAGGCAATAGATTGAGGGAATAGGCTATCTCTTTATGACAGAAAATAGTCTTAAAAATTGTCTCATCCCCCACAAGTACTATTTTTGGTACTATCATTAAGACTTTCCTGTGTTCAATCAGAAAGAAATGCTTTAAAATTCTTTTAAGTATTTCAATATGAAGCTGCATAAAGGAATTTCCAAACCAAAAAGTAGTGCTTAAAATTGAAACAAGTATTTTTGTCATAAGTAAATTCTTGACCTAATGCTTATACAAAACACTTTCCACATATGACACTCACTTAAAATACATTTAAATAAGTTCAAGTTTGGAAATTTGTAATAAGTGATAATCTTACGGACACTTTGCAGACAGATTACAAACCTGTGCTAGCTAAAGACATTCTGAAAATTGACGCTGGAACTTATGTCTCTAATCTGCCCAGGAACTGTAAGCATAGCAAGGGGGAAATTTTATCATTTAGCAAGAAGTTAAAGAATTTTAACATTAGTAACAAGAGCAAGTGCTATTCCTGTAAGTTAGACTAATCATTTTATTACTTCTAGAAATGAATGTTTCATGCCAAATCAAAAAAATGAAATAACTGTCACTAAAAATAAATAAAAAAACAGTGCCAGATAATGTTCTGAAGTCAAAGGTCTGTGTGCTGGAAGAAGATTGCTTACTGTGATTTCCTGCTCCATGATCAAGGATTATGATTGCAACCCTTGAAGAACTGGAAGGGTAGGGTCAAGCTTGTATCTTGTTGTCTAGCCTGGTATCCAGGGCAACACTAATTCTAGAGGAACAGTGCTGTTACCAACTGTTACCAACTTCCTTTCTTCTTTGAGATCATGAAGGACAAGCTATTTTTGACAGACTCGGGACTGGTATACTCTAGGTGTTGCTGTGTGGCATGGTACTACAGCATGATTGTATCCTGGTTCGTAAGCAAACTTCTTCATTCTCAAAACAGCTGCAGCGACTGCAGTAAGCTATATAACTCTTTCCTAAGAGTATGTTAGACCCTCTCTTGTGTTTCGGGGACATAGTTATGGCCAGAATAGAGTTATTGCTACCACGGAGATTTCATTTTCTATTTGCTTGTCATTACCACTCATCCTTTCCTAGGCGGAAAAGTTGTTGTGTGCGCTATCTTTGGTTTGTCCTTTGCCTGGTACCATGACATGAGGAACACTTCATTGGTTTTTGATCAGATTGGAACTGAAAAGTCTTCTTTTGAGGTCTGCTATGTGGTAATTTGGAATGCAGGATCAGAAAGCATTTCTCAGCCTCTAGTCGTTTCTTTCAAACTGCTTTGTTTGCCGTAAGTTTCATCTTTAGCTTGTAGCTGCTGAATATATTTTACATAAAGTCTTCCTAAATTTTTGCTTATTGTTTTTTGATTTTTTTGATTCTGCTGACTTGTAAGTACTCGTATGGCTGTTGGAGCACTTCTTGTTTTTTTGTTTGTTTTTGTTTTTTTGTTTGTTTGACTGATCTGTCAGTACTAAAGTTCAGTGGTTATATAGAAATGAATTGGATTTATTTTTACTTCTGAAGTACTTTGCAGTGAATGTAGGAACAATATGGAATTACTGCAACATGGAATTCAGTCTCATAAATATTTCAGCCTTTGAGTTCAGTTTGCTTTTAAATAACTTCCCCTCTTGCTAACGTTTAGGAAGTGCAGCAGTTAAATCAGCAAGTGGAGGAGAAAAACGGAGAGATACAGCAGATGATAAATCAGCCCCCATATGAAAAGGACAGAGAAATCTTACGGCTTCAGAAAACCTTGGCAGAGAAGGAGAAAGCTCAGGCCACTAGTGAAGTTTTGTGCCGTTCACTTGCTGATGAAACACACCAACTTCAACGCAAATTAGCATCCACAGCAGAAATGTGTCAACATCTGGCAAAATGTCTAGAAGAGAAGCAAAGAAGAGAAAAGGGGAATTCAGATGATCAGATTCCTACTGAAAGATCTAATCAGGTATTCTTACTACACTTCTTGCAATTATTATTAGCTTCTAAGGTGTTGATTACAATATGACAGTTGTAAATGAGGAACAGTGGGAAACATCCCTTTAAGTAATTTCACATATGGTAGAAAGACTAATATGGCAAGTTCTACATGATTTTGAACACTAAGAGTTGAGAATAGAAGCTGTTGTCAGCCACTAGTGTTTTGGCCATCTCACTTATCTCTAGCATCAGAGCTTGGAGAGGAGAGAGTAATTGCAACTCTTCCCTGCTTACGCTGCAGACAGCAGCGTGCTCGTGTACCTCACTAGATGGTGCTGTGCTTTTGAAGGTGATGTCTCTTAGATGGCTTATAAACAAGCCATCACAAAACAAAGCATCAGTGCTTTAAAGCGATATTTGTATTAAGAACTCTACATCATGCAGTCTTTTCAGGTCTGGATTTGGCTTTGCATGCATAGTATAGACCTACAGAAAAAGCTGTTTAGGAAAGAGCTGGCCAAGGAACTTTATCCACTTTTTGCTCTGTGGTTTCTACACATCCCCTTTTTCTGCCCCCCACTGTCTCTCCCTGAAATAATATACTGCTTCCCTACAACAGGGATGTTAGACAAATTGCTTCATGTTAGTAAAATGACAGAAATGCCACTGAGGGGCAAGAAACAGCTGGGTGGTGGCCCACCTGGCTAATAGTTGTGTGGCTTTACATCACCATCATCTTAGCTGAAACTTTTCAGTGTAGGGTAGAGGCAGATATTTTCAAGAGGAAACCCATTCTTCCAGAAATCATGTTTTAGTTATTTGCTTGTGATATTATCCTGAGTTACTTAACATCAGAGGTGCTGCCTCCAATATCAGATAGGAGTACTGAGTGCTATAACCAATTATCACGGAAAGGAGTACTTGCTATGTTTGAGATGACTACTCATTTATGCTTTTGTGATAAACTATGTGCATGGGTCAATTCAATTTTGTAAAAACGTTCTAGGAATACTTCCAAAGAAAGATAGTATAGCCACGTTAAAGTTACCTATAAGATGTATATAGAGGTTGAGCAGATAAAAAGTCCTTAAAAAGTCCTTTTTTTCTTCTAATACTTTTAGTATTATCATATTCTAAGTGTAATTGATAGACAGGAAACTTGATTGACTTTGTATGTAATAAGTAGCTAACCTTGTACGGTGGGGACTTCCCTTTTGAAGGACAGAAATTTCAGATAGAAGTACTAGCTGATTCTTGGGAATTTTGTACAAAAATGTTCTAAATTACTCATGTACCCTGGGGTTTTTTAAGCAGATGTCACAGCTTTTTTTTTTTTTTTAGGTATGCTTTTAGTCAATTATTTAGCAAGCAGAGTTTTTTAACTTCTTCCTAGCACTGGCCAAAATTATAGATAGTAATAGTAAAGCGAGATAAAGCCATATCTGTGGCTTTGTCATGCATTTCTCCCACTGCAAACAAGCAGTTTCCTAGGAGTTCTTGTAAACTCCCAAGCACTGTTGTCATCAGTGCAGACCCTCGTGCATGTAAACGTGTGATATTTTTCTTGTTAACTTTAGTTGGCTCAGAGTTTGGCTAGACAGATATGTTTTTATGACATCACATAGACATATTTAGAAGCAATACCATGGTGGTAAAAACCTGATTACACTTCTGCTCTGATTATTAATAAAAAACTAGCCTAGTTATAGGCTATGCTATACTATATAGCATATTTCTATACTCTGTAGAAACAAGTAGATTTAGATAGTTCACTGATAGCAGATATTTTAGAGGAATAAAGCAAAGATTACTTTCAGCTTAACAGCGTAGTTAAGTAGCATTTGGGATTCTTATGTTAAAATAACATTTTTTTTTTTTTTAATCTGAAAATTACAGCTGTCAGACAATGAAACTTCACTTCAAGCCCTTATCTGTAAACTGCAAGATGAAAACAGGATGTTAAAACAAAAAGTGGCTCACGTGAGTACTTTCATTTTGTACAAGATTAAGATTTGATTATTTTGAATTACATTAGATTAACCAGGCCTTTCCTTTTTCAAATTTAATCAAATGGCAGTTTCATGTTTTAGTCTTTTCAAGATGGCACATACTCTTTATCCTTTGGCTAAAAACAGCTTATTATGTTTTTTAATGTTTTCTTGTTGTTCTTAATAATACACTGCAACAGAAAATTGGTAGATGGAGGTTGCTCTGCAGCCCTTTTTGTGCTTCTTCAATTTTCTAACCCAGAAGAGGGCTATGTCTAGGGTGACAGCAGACCCCTCCCATTCAGTATTATGTGCTACTCTCCCTATGGACTGGCACATGGGGAGGGCTGCCAGTGAAGTGACTGGCTTATAGCATGATAATCTTCCACGCTCATGGAAATTAGCTGACCCACACTCAGCAGGTCAACACATATTTCTTAAAGAATCTTGGTCCTGACCATACAGACATTCTATGAAAGCTTGAAAGGTTGCGCCTTCATGTTGTGACTTTCCTGGATAATCTTTCAGGTAGAAGACTTAAATGCAAAATGGCAGAAATATGATGCTAGTAGGGATGAGTATGTGAAGCGACTCCACTTGCAGCTAAAAGAACTGAAGTCACAACGGGAGCAACAGCATGGCATAACTTCAGCACAAACAAATTACGAGCTGATGCAAAAGGAGATATTCCGGTTAAACAAGCTACTAGAAGAAAAAATGAATGAATGCATAATAGCAAAGAGAGAATTAGAAGATGTGAAGAAGGCTAGTGAAGGAGATAACGAACGCATACAAATGCTGGAGCAGCAGGTCATTAAGTTTCTTTTTCTTAGAGGTGGGAATTCTTTGTTTTTCCCCAAAATGCTGAGCTCTAAGGGGGAAATGAAGTGTTGCCTTTGTCACATGGGGTATACAGCTACTTGAAATCACAGATTAAAAGAAAATCCAATACTTAAAAAATTCCATACAGTTCTGCTATATTCTAATATAAAATATTAAAGATCTAAAAAAGAAATATAAATAGTTTTAAAGCACAGACATGATAGAGAAGATGGTATTGAGACTCTGGGAGTAAATATTTACAAACAGATAAATTAGATTCGACTACTTAATTTAACTTGCCATGCTTTTATTTGTAAAATACTAACATAATTCATTTTCAGGTCCTAGTTTATAAAGATGATTTTACATCTGAGAGATCAGACAGAGAACGAGCACAGAGTAAAATACAAGAGCTTCAAGCAGAAGTTGCATGTCTGCAGCACCAGCTAACAAGAAGACAGGTAAAAAAAAAAAAAAAAAAAGCTGAATGCTATCTTTTTATTAAAAGAATCTCAGCAAGATTCAGGACTAAAATTTATGCTTAAAATACTTTTAGAAGTCTTAATACTTCTGCACTGAATTGAAAAGGTTTTAGCTGTCAAAAACTGAAATTATTTCATAATCTCAGTTATAATGGAGATGCTTCCTGATACCTACATATCCTTTCCCAGTCTATTTCCCCTCTGTATTGGATCAACATAGAGAGGGTCCTCAGAAGGAACAGAGGGACAACTATGACTCTGGTCACAGTGGCATTTTTAAAGTAGCTTACTAGCTATCCATCCTATGTGTTTCACAAGTCTGCTTATGAGTGTTTCAACAGAACTGCAAAAACTCATGCATGTCTTTATTACAAATCTTCAGATAAAAACATGATCAGTGTTCCAGATAAAGATGATAAATATTCTGTTAAAGAATATCTTTTTTACTTAATTTTTTTTTTCAAGAACTCTTCTTTCTCTTTCTAGGACTCAAGAGACTCAACTAGTCATTTCAGAGTTCACGTTGGTAACCAAAATCACATGTATGTACAGACAAACGTTGAACATCTACGAGACAACAGCCCAGGCCAAACGGGCATGAGGAGAGCAGCTTCACGATCTGAGCAAGGTTCTCCACCTGTAGACAATAGAAACTCAGGATCAGAGGGCAGGGCACAGGGTGAACTTAGATGCCCTCATTGTATGAGGTTTTTCAACGATGAACTCAGTGATGAATTTCTCAAACACGTTGCTGAATGTTGTCAGTGACCATGTGAGGAGTGTAAGTTAATCACTACTTTATAGATAAAGTACTCTATACATATCTCCTACAGTCCTAAAACAGAGTAATTCAAGTGGACAACTCTTAGGAATTAGGGAGATGAACAATATCTACCTCTTACTTGATTTCACCTTCTTTTGGACTGTATGAAAGACTTCAAGATAAAGCAAAGCCTTTTATGAGGAAATATTTTTCGAACAATTATGAGGGAAGCAAGCATAATGCAAATTGTGCTACAAAGTAAAGAAGAAACTGGTAGCATGCAGTTTCACTCAGCTACAAGTCTAATTCTTCACAGCAGTCTGAAAATCACCGAACTTGAAATATAACTCCTTTTTCAAAGATGGAAAGAAGCTGCCTGAAGAACAGCTTCAGGGGGGAAGAACAATTTGGCAAAACATAGCAGGAAAAAAATCTTATTTTGCTTTATCTGGATTAAAATTGAAAGTATTTTCTTTGCTATTAAGGGTATACATGGCTGAAAATCCTTATGCTCGGCTGAAAATCCTTATGCTCAACTGAAAGCAAGAGAAGTGAAGGAAATCTAAAAGGCTGGTCATTGAATAAATGACCTTGTCTTTTTGCACAGAAATACAGTTATTTATGGCACAAAAAATAAATATCTCTACAACTTTACACATTTGTAAATGTGTATTTGTGTAATTAGTGATTGTATGCAAATTTTATAATGGCCTAATGATTATTTTTGTAATAAAAGTGACAGTGCAGTTGCTTTACTGCATTGGTAAAGTATCAGAGCCCTTTCTTTCCATGCAAGTACTTGTAAAATAGTCCAAGTAACTATACTTACATTTATCTGAAACCATGACATTTAGTTAACACTTGCGTTATTCCATTACTTCACTAACAACCACTGTCTCAGACTATTTGCAAATAAATATGGGGAAAAATCATTCCTTAGTTACGGGAGGAAGAATGACCTTTCGGATAAACAAGAACACATTTAACTCCCTACCCTGCCACACACTGTTTGTGAGTACACCAGCGTTAGCTTAAGTTTATTTTTAGCCTATAATACAGTGGAAATAACTTCAAGATCATTTTGAGTAGTGGGTAAAGTGTACAATTTTTTTCTACCCTTGGCTCCAGGTGTTTCTCAGTATGTCAGAGTTGGAGTTAAGGACAGTATGTCAACAAAGGCCTGGTAACCACGACCTTTTAAGTTTAAAGAAAAAGAGTTTACTGTTTATAATAGCACTGCTGTCCTTTATGCTTTGCTTACTTTCCAGTTCTGTACTTTTTTTTGGATGATTGTGGCTATTTTTCCTTCACTTATCTAGCAGTATTTGTAACTATCTATCTCCTTCCCTCTCCTCCTGCCACTTCTTTAAAAAAAAAAAAGAAAAAAAAAAAGCCATAATTTTTCTCCAGCATACAGCTCTCTCTTAGTTCCCTGTTAGAGAATGGTTGTTCCTGTTAAACATGACCCTGCTAAGCTGCTGAAGGACTAAAGTCTAGTGCCCCCTTTCACTCACGTTCCCAAACAGCACTGAGTTTTGGCCGATTTTTCTTTCACTATTTCCAAACAGTTTCAAAACAATAAAGAGAACAGCAGCACTCTTTACTGTGCTCTAGGCTGACAAAATAACAAGCAGTAGTAGTGCAGCGCCCACCCGCCCCAGCAAATATGTAACTGTAGGCAACACGATAGTGCTATTCATGTGATTCACATCTGGAAGGTTACAAGACAGCTGAAAGAACTAGCCCTTCACAAGGACGAGCTACTCTTTGTGGATGAAAAGGAAACTGATTTCCTGTTTCTTAGGGCTTGCTCAGGTCAAAGCAATGGTCCACAGCCAATCCTTCACGGATTCCTGTAAGCAATCCCTTGATGAATACTAAGTACAGAACTATCTGCCTCTAAACAAAAATTCTACTATTTCATGATCTTTGTACAGCCCCCAAAGGAGGAAAATGGTTTATGCCA